CAAAAAATACATGTGACAAGTGGGATATTTAACTGATATTCCATATTCACATGTCTGAATACCCAATATTACTTTGAAATAACTTACATTTCTGGTAAATGTGGTGACTAAAAAATACATGTGACAAGTGGGATATTACTGATATTCCATATTCATATGACTGAATACCCAATATTACCTTGAAATAACCCACATTTCTGGCAAATGTGGTTACAAAAAATACATGTGACAAGTAGGATATTACTGATATTCCATATTCAAGGGTGCTACACAAAACCGCATTGTATTGCTATTKTATCCAACATTATTGAAAATGCCTAGACCACAATGTCTTGGAATTGAAGAAAGCCTGCCAAATATACCATGGCTTTCCTGTATTCTGATTGGCTGTATATTCGAAGTGTGGGGTAAATGCGAGTAGTTAGATAACAAAGGAAAGTTTTTAAATCACTTCCATTTTTTTCTTTGCAGAAACTATCTGGTTGATTTTGGTCTGTGTTTTGGGTTCGCTAATGTTAGTGTTGCTATTAGGTCACATTTTCTTATGGTAAGCATATTCTTAATATTCATATTCTTGCTTATCATTGGTTTACTAGTTTGAAATATTCTTATGGAAATCTCGAAAGATTTAATTGTTTAGTGTCATGGACAGGTTACACGTTCTGTCTGTTGTGCCTCCTATCATGGTCGCACTTGACGTTGACTGCTACAATAATTTTTAGGGAAGTTCTCTTTAAAATAAGATTCTTTGTTTGAGTTGTACTTCAAATCCATTTTTCTTCTTATGTGCAACTGTTAAACAAAGAAATGATACTCTGGGGAATAACACGTGGTCTGAAATGGGAAAACATTATGTCCAATTTAAAGAGGGTCTATAGACTCCTTGCATGTGACGTCAAAGCAGCTCAAATTTTGGAGGACAAAACAAAAGAATTTCGATCTCATGAGAATTGGAAACATTTTGTTAAAAATTGTGCTCCAAATTGAGCCTTTTCTTTTTAGTTGCAGGAAGAGAGGATGGAAGTCACTGGCAGCTGGCCGTGCCAATCTTATCCTGGACCAAAACTAGCGGTCTATCACAAATCTTGCCTTCTGATTGGCTATGCTACTATAGGTCTATTACTGATAGCCCACTAGTAGAGATCCATTGTCTATTTCTATAAACAAAACTAGCGGTCTGTCACAAATCCTGCATTCTGATTGGCTATGCTACTATAGGTCTATTACTGATAGCCCACTAGTAGAGATCCATTGTCTATTTCTATAAACAAAACTAGTGGTCTGTCACAAATCTGCCTTCTGATTGGCTGTGCTACTATGTGTCTATTAGCAATAGCCCTCTCAAAGTAGTGCCGTTTTTTCAATTTATCAACTWAAGACAAAAAGGAATGGTTGACAACCATTTAAAATTATCGCTTCTTTCCGACTAGTTTGTTTAAAGTGAAACAGTATTCCTTTATTCGTTATGGGTCRTTCGAGCCCTAGTTCAAACTTTTGATGGTAAAGTAAGTTTCAAAATGTTATGAGAATATAATTTACATTACAAGCGTTGCTTTAGTTRAGAAGTTCCCGAATCACAAACCGGAAGTAAAACTTTCCGTTGCGCATAGCAAAACTGAAAAATATTTGTTGATAATTTCGAATTATTTATTTATTTCTTACACCTCCTACATATTCATCATGAAAATAATCAYCCATTACTATAAAGATTCTTTATGTATATAATGTACGTTGATGAAGTAGTTTCATAATTTGTCCGCATACAAGATTTTGCATTTTCTCAAAAGAGCAGGTGCATRTTACGTCATWGCCGCCATCTTGGTTGACGATAACAAAGCATTCCTCATTAGCTTCTCTTGTTAGATCAACCAAAATGGCGGCTGTTTCATTGTTATTCATATCTCAAGGGATTTTGATTCACATGTTTGCACACACTATATATAGAGAAAGGAAACGAATATAGAATGAAAAATATAATCAGTTTACAGCTGTTTCAAAAAGAGATTGCTGAAGGTTTTGTTGCATCTTGCATAACAAGCCGGAACTCCCATTTGCGCGATGTGAATCCAAACATCGAAAGATATCAAACGAAATTCTCAATCAGCCAAAAGTTACAACGATATGGAATCTTACCAAACTTTGTCTTCACGTTTTACCGGCATATTTTCTTCTGTGCTGACATTATTTACATATGAATATAAAACATTTCAAGCTTAGCAAACAACATGCAACAAAATCTTCACCAACCTTTTTTGAATTATGTAGAATTATTTGTAAGAAACGCATGTATCTGGTGCGCCTGTGACCCCGTTCATGTATGGGCATGCAGATATTTTTGAAAATGAATTTTTTTTACGTGCGCAACACTTTTTTCGACTGAATAGTTGCGTTTTCGAGGCCAATCCGCAAAGTGAAAAAATCTCGTTTTCAAAAAGTCTGGGGACGGAGCCTTGATGGGTGTTATGCAACGTTCAAATCATTCAAACGTTGCGTGGATACCATACTTACTTGCCTAATGATTGCATGAAATATTTAAATCCTTTATAAACACTCCATTTTTAGCCTATTTGCTTGCATAGTTATGCACAGTCCTATTTCCCTTGGTTACTGATTGATGTTTGCTTCGGCCATAAAAAAAAAAAACCAACAAGAATAATCAAGTCAGATATTCTCAGTGTCTCTTCCACCAGAATTTGTGATTTTTACTGTACGGAGAATATCCGGGGAATCTGGAGAAATGCTTGGAGAAACAATAAGATGAAACAGAGAAAATGAGGCACTGAATGTTAATGATTTTTTGAATAGAGATGAACTATTCTTATATCAATATGTATTTAATTATTATTGAATAGTCTTAAGAATTTAAACTCCTAGGTTTTAAAAACAATTTCAAATACAGTTATTGTGAATTATAATATAGTATAACAGTTATATGATATTGCTAGTCGTTTATGATATTATATTTGTTAGATAAGTTTAGTTATTTGTACCCTGTGTGTCCGATAAGAAAGGCCACCCTCTCTTTATGGAGAAAAAAATAAAAATAAAAAATCAAGATAACTAGAGTTATGTGTAGCCTAATTTTTTTAAATTTAATATATATATATATATTTTAATTTGTTTTAAATTTTTTTATGATGAATAGCTGCCCCCTTTCCCGACGGGTTTCTCCGTGCACTCAGGCACACTGACTAGTGCTCAAGCTATATTTGACAATGTTTGACAATGTTTATGTGACATGTTAGTTATGTAATTGTCCCGCACGTGAGATAAACCGTGAAGCTTTTATGAATCAATGGATGTTTTCTTTAGAAAACTGGCTTAATATTCGTGAATGGAACTCTGAACTCACAACCACAGCTGGTCARCATCTCACGAACGACAAGGGTCTTAAAACGCGTTGGAGATACAAAAAAACAGCCAGCTAGAATGAAGCAGAGATATCGACTAAAAGCTCTTTTCATGACAAATTAAAAAAAGATATGTTTTGTGTTAATTTTGAAAAATGGAAACTAATGAAACGAAAATGAAAAGAGAGAGAGGGAAATAGGGAGGCACTTAGGCTAGTGTTCATGCTGCGTCATAGCAACGCGGTCACGCTAAAGGAACGCCTGCTTCCATTTAAACTTTACTTTCTAAACTCACCCAGTAAAATAAGCTTATTCCAAGATGATTTGATTTGAAAAGTTACTAGTACCAGCTGTGTTTAAATATTTCTTTCGCAAAAACAATCGGATCTAAAATCAATGTTATACGTTTAGAGATAATGGGTCAATAGTAATCGAGCTTAGTTCCGCTCCAGGCATTATTTACAGTATCTACGTTCCCCGTAGCCATTGGATGAAATTTTAACACCATTTTTAACACTAAGCATATTTAATCAACGGAATACAGCCACTTGGTTCTTTTACAATACATGGTCGTTTAAGTCAAAGCTTAGTTATGGAGTTGGATTTAAAGTTTGGAGTTGTTTTATTTCTGGTAATGTTGAGCATGCTACCATGGCAAAGTTCTGCCAAGTCTCTTCTTGATTTGACTCTGGATGAATACAATAATCTTTCTTCCTCAAAACCGTCAAGTTTTATAGCAGTCCACTTCGATAACAAAGGTATAAGATCTATAAAGAAAAGCAGACGTAACTTTGAAGGGAATTGCTTTAATTAATTGTACATGTTAACGTTCTTAGGACCAATTGTTTATAGCCTTATATATATTTTGATTCTAACGGTATTGAATTCTTGAAAGAGTGGTTCTAAGTGCGTTAAATATTGAAGTATCTCAAACAGGACAAAGTCCTTTTGTTTAATTTTCTTACTCTTATCAGATGTGAGAAGAAAATTTCCGATTTTGCTGAAGGAACTACGAAAATCGTCTGATATTCTACAAACATATGGTATCCAAATTGCTCGGGTAAGCTTCGTTATAAATGTCAACTCGCGCTTCAAATTTCTTAAGTTTTTCTTTCAATAAGCTAAGGATTTATTATTCTTTCAAATTCACCTAGCTACGACAGCTAGAAGCATTTAAAGACATTTTACAGATGTATTAAATTGAATGCAAAAATCATTGCATAACATGGTAATATTTATTCACAACAATGGCAAGTTGTTTTACATGTTTTATCATGTTTACTTTCACATTTACGTTGACCTTATAATTTCACGCAAGAAATATTGAAAGTGTGAATACTAATATTATATATAATATACTTAGATGAATCTATATTCTTAAAAACGGTTTTTCGTCTTACCACTTAATAGCTTTTAATTGATGTCTGAATTTTTTAATGTGCAAATTATAAGAGTTAAAAACGTATAGTAGTATGGCTTTGAACAATGCAGAAAGTTAAGAGGATTATGTACATAAAGAAAAAATTCTAAGATATTTCGATTCTATGGCATAAATTAACTTGAATTTCCAGTAATAACAAGCGTACATAAAGAAAAAATAAGAAAACCTGTCCTTTTTTCACGAGGGTAGCACTTAATAGCCAGTGGCTAATAAAACTGTGGCCCTAGCTCATTCCATGATCGAATTGGAATTTAGGAGTTGATTTTTGCGGAGGGAGCAAAACCGGAGAACCCGGAAAACCCTCAAAGCACAGGAGAGAACCAACAAACAACTCTACTCATATAAAACACTGAGCCCGGTGGGACTTGAACTTGGGTCGAATTTATGAGAGGCGAGTGCTCACACCGCTACACCACCCTGTGCTTCCCACATAGCCTTACATGCTGGTAACCAGAAGAAAAGCAATGGTTATAATCCCAAAATAAAACAAGCCAGTATTTCTAAAGCTAATTAACATTAATTTGATCCATTTACAGTTAGAACAATGGAACCATTCCACTTTTGTATTCTACTTTTTAAAACTGCATTCTGTAAATTAATCATCCCTTTGTCAATAAGCCTTTTCATAGTTTAAGAATCGATTCCACTTCGCATGCAATTTTATCCCGAATTTCTCACCTTCTTTTGTTTAATTGAGAACAAAAGAAGGTTTAGACAAAAGAAGGTAGAAATTCGGGATAAAATCGCATGCGCAGTGGAATGGATTCTTAAACTATGAAAAGGCTTATTGTTGAATGGAAATAAGATATATTTTGATCACTTGGTGTATTTGAAATGCTTTATTTTAGAGGATTTGAAATAGTAGAACATTTTAAAATCGAAATCTAGAAGTGTTCAAGGCTTGAGTGTCCTCACTGTAATGTAACCCCAGGGAGGTGAGGGGGGGATAAAAAATTCCTCTGTGGGGGGGAGGGGGTATGGATAATTTCTTGAACTACACAAAGAACTTTGGGAAAATAAGACAACGTCAAACAATTAGGTTAAGTAACATTTAAATCATAATTATAATATAATAATATAATATATAATCGTTTTTTCATTTTATTGTTGCAGATAAATTGTGAAGGTATTTCAATACAGCCCTGTAAAGAGGAAAACATTTACACTTTTAGGTAAACTTGTATACAAGGCATTTATGATATTACATAAATAAAACACAAATTTCTCTGTATCCATAATTAATCATCATTATATCATAATCTCATAAATGGCTTATTGATGTATACGGCTTAGTCCAGGGCCTAGGAGATCCTCTCCATTGTCATGATTGTCAGTTTCAAAGAAATAGTTTATTGATACCCTGTTTACTGCCTTTACTGTTACCACCTCTTGCCAACAAGAACATAGGGTTGAACTTTAGGGGCAGTAGGGCAAAATCATCATTTTTGTTTCATCGTTGTAACCAAGTACGTAATAGGTTACCGAAGTTACACAAGTGGGACTTAGGATTTTGGTTATCCCAGACTTTCAGACGAGATTCGAACCTAGCATCCTTGCTGGCAAATGATCATTGTCTTTTGCAACCCTTACCCCAAATTTAACCCTTGGCCATGAAGTGAATTCGCTTGGTTAGTTCCTTTTTTATATTTCAAAACAAACTTCATTAGTATATGCTCAAACATATTTATTTGCAGTATCATATAATTATGCTATCAAAATCGTAGGGTACGACTACGTACTAGCCAAATGAATTTGAATATCAAAATCTGATATTGAATAGAATTCTGATAATTCCCGTACATGACAATATAACCACTTTTAGAGGTGTATTGATAGTTACCACAATATATATCTGACATTTCATGCATGCAGCTTTGTCTTGTCTGGTTGCCAATTATAACATTAAACACTATTGGCTTGTTTTCTCTCACAGAAATGGTGTTTTTGAAGAAACTCATGAGCTAGAAGTCATGTTTAATGAGGATTCTATTGTGTCAAACTTGCTTCAGTAAGTAAATTTACCAATTTATTACGATAAATCTTTCTGAATTCCCTAGATTGACATGAAGCAATAATTGTTCCAAGGTGAGGTTAAACTTGATGAAATATGTATCAGTCAATGTATGCGAACACCGTAAAACCCCATGATCAACTTAGAACCATTGTTGGTCACTAGATCAAGAGAATTTGGAGGTTAGCCTATAATATAAAAATATTCGATATTTGGCATCAATGGCACCTTTCAGGGCTATTGTGTTCTGCTGGTTTCTGATTGGCTCCACTACCCAAAGTTGGAATGCATTGTTTTCATTCTACGATTTGATTGGTTCTTGCTGTCTAGATAGGTGGCATGGCCTCGGCTATAATAGTCGCACTGTAACAAAATGTTAGACTATAGTAAATATAACAATAGTTACTACCAGCCACAACCACCAACATTTAAGGCAATGATTGTTCTTGATATGTCCTTGATAACTATGAATAATTACATCTATATTTTTGTTATTTGATTGTTGTTTAGGACATTGCTCAAAAATGAAGTACAATTTATCTCCACCTTTGAAAATGGACAGAGAATGATACAAGAAGCAAAAGAGCAGAAAAAGGATTTGGTGTTTTCATATGTAAAAGGACTTGGAAATCATGGTAAGATCAAGTTTCAACTTGAGTTTTGATCTTTACCTCTTCAGGTCCAGACGCATGATGGTGAAGAATGAAACATTGTATTATTATATACTACCATTACCAGATTCCCTTGCATACCTTAGGACCAGTCGTCTCATGGGAAAACAAAAAAATTGAATAAAAAAGAAATTTTACAAGGCATCGTGAAAGTGTTAGTACAATGATGCCATCAAGCAAATAGCCTATTTTGTGTTTCATCCCTCAAGCCATTAAGGATATTGATTTTTAGCCAGAATCCCTTTAATCCTCTTCTCTCCAAGTATTTTCAGGTCACTATTGACTCTGTTGTATGTTATTTACCTGCCAGGAGTTCCAGATAGAAAAACTGTGCCTGAGGTCTTAATTTCAAGTCCTTACTAAAGCCTTTAGGCTGAGTTCCGTTTTCATGACCGAGGGCAGTTTTTCTGGATGCGACTGTAAATAACTTATATTTACCCCCTTACTTTCCTACTCATTTAGCAGTCTGTTATATCCTTACAGCAGACCGCAGGCAGATACTAAGAATATACATTTGTTTCATTTTAGATCATGCTATCGTTACAAAGATTGCCTTTGTTTACGCTGAAAATATAATGTTTGGATTGACTACTGATACAAAGTTGGCAGTAAAGTTTGAGGGGTGAGGCATTGCTAGTGCCATGATGTTGATTGATTTGTAACAGTGTTTATTCTTCTTTTTTGTTCATCCATCCTTCCTTCCATCCATCCATCCATCCATCCATCCATCCATCC